CTATGACAAAAAATGTCTTTTACTATATATATATATATATATATATATATATATATATATATATATATATATATATATATATATATATATATATATATATATATATATATATATATATATATATATATATATATATGGTTGCATTCACATGCAAACACCTTTAAAATACAAACATATGGACATATACCGTGCGCACACCTAAATACGGGTATGCACAAATCCGTGGACGACAGTGCACACATCCAATGTAGTATGCATGTGTGAATCCACAATATTTGGGCCGGTGTGCACACGTACATAAACGACAGTGCACACAGGCAGGCAGCACACAAAATCATAAAAACTAATCACAATCTTAAATAACTAAAATCCAACGATCCAGAAATGCCCACACGTTTATATTTTAAGCCCTGTTTTTACATGAATGTAATTTTCTTTCTCTCTCTCTCTCTATATATATATATATATATATATGTATATATATAATCAAACGAGAACATGATTCTCCTGTAAAAAGTGAAGACTGATCTTAGTCATCCATTAGGGTTCATAAATTGTTTATGGTTTTAGTAAAAAAACACGAAGTCAATTTTATAATTATTGAAAATTTTTAAGAAAAATTTAAGAAAAATATTGTGACATTTTAGTAAATTTTTTTTAACTTTGAAGTGCATAATTTTTACATTATTACAAAGAGAAAATTTCAATTTTGGTCAACTGACTATTGGGGTTGTGTTAATTGCAACACTTGACTTTTAAAAATGTTTATTTAGTACCTTGACTATGCAATTTCTATCAATTTTGGTCACGCCGGCCAAATTGCCGGTCAAATCTCACCGGAAAATTTTAATAGGTCAATTTATGAGGGTATTTTAGTAATTTTACTCCTCTTTTATCTTCTCCGATGAGCTTCTCCATTTCCGGCGATGTTCTTCTCCGGCCAGTCAATGGCGATTTTGGGGAGTTCTTGTTATTTCTCGTACATCTCTAAGAAATCAAGAGTTCAAAGACATGCCTGAGTTTATGCATTCTTAAACACTCTTGGATATGAATGTACTGCTATATTCTGAGATTACTACTATATTTCTCGTACATCGCCATTGTCTGTAAAGCTTGCTTCTTCTCTTGAAAACTGTGCAGACACAAATTCCTGAAGAAGCTACACGTTTGCATATTAACACGCGGGCTTGAACACGACTCGTCTTTGGGTTCCAAGCTTCTCAATAGCTACGCCAAGTTCGACCTTTTAGCTGAATCCAAATGGATATTTCACAGAATTAGCGACCGCGATTTTTCTATTTGGAATCCGACTTTTGTTGGGTATTTTAGAGCGTTTCACTACGATGAAGTCCTCGGGTTGTATGCAGAATTGAAGAGAAGGAGCATCGGAATCTATGGCGCAGCCGTGACATTTACAGTGAAGAGCTGCGGCATGTTGGGCGACTTGAAATTCCCCCCGCTGAAGAACATCGCCGGAAATGGCGAAGAACGTCGCCGGAAATGGAGAAGCTCATCGGAGAAGAAAAAAGAGGAGTAAAATTACTAAAATACCCTCATAAATTGACCTATTAAAATTTTTCGGTGAGATTTGGCCGGTGTGACCAAAATTGATAGAAATTGCATAGTCAAGGTACTAAATAAACATTTTTGAAAGTCAAGTGTTGCAATTAACACAACCCCAATAGTTAGTGGACCAAAATTGAAATTTTCTCTTATTACAAATGTACAAATTCTCTACTACATGTGCATAAATTTCGTACTAAAAGTGCATAATATTTACACATGCACAAAAATGCACTCATTTTTAGAGCCTTTAATATGGACGCATAAGGTTATATTACGCGTGCACATAACTATTCTCATTTTTAGAGCTAACCGTATAAAATATATCTTCCCGTATATTACATATTTACATGTGTCCCAATCCAACCGTATAAAATACATATATCAATTTGTTATCAGAGTCGATCTAATCTTGGAACTCACACATAAAATAATTTCATACTCAAAAAGATATTTTATTACGGAGTATTAATTTAGTCCATTAATTAAAACAAAACATAACCATTTTTACAAATTACGAAATCTCCTCTCGAGTTTTCACACAATATTTAAAACATCTATCCATATATCCATATATCCATATATCCATCCACCCATCAATCCATCTTATCAATGGCTGGTAATTGATATGGAGATGACACATGCACATCCTTCATGCTAGCAACCTTCTGATTGTTCCTATGTAGACGATGATGAGAGCAAAGGCCTACCTCGTTGACGTCTTCTTCTTTTATTATTATTATTATTATTATTATTATTATTATTTAATTCTTTAATTTCTGTCGTCTTAACCATAGATACATCTTTTCTTTCTTGTAACCCGGGATCTGGTTGAGTGAGAGTGACTCATGACTCATCCATTCTTAACTAAAAGTTAAATGTTTGATCTTTGGCTACACCCAAAAGAGATGCATACAATTCAACGAAAGGAGTAGTCACTGTGTCTGGCGATGAAAATCCGGGGTATACCAAAAAAAAAATAAAAAATCTTCACATATAAGTATGCTATTTGCACCCCGATTGTCAACTTCATCTTCCTTCCATATTCTTTTGTGTCTTATTAAACATTATTCTTTGTGTGAATAACATCAAAGTCTTAATATATTTCAGTCAAAATTGTAGCAAGTCAAAAATAGATGCCCTTCTCGAGTAACCAATGCTCTAACAATTTTGACTGGACCAACATCCTACAAAGTTTGAAACTTATGAAAGTTTTTAAAGTTTTATTATATTGCACTTTTTTTTAGTGACAAAAAAAAAAAAAAAATCGATGTCACTATTTGAATGTTTGCACTGGGTAAACCTTATTCATTTGTAATAGCACGTAAATCATATAAGAAAAGTAAATTATATTAAAAAGACTCCATGTGACGAGCTCGATCAAAAGGTTTATTGCACTTTTAATGCTTAAAATAGGAAAGAATGATGAAATTAATTTATTAACTACCCATGCTAGAGAACCATAACTATTATTTCTTATTATCCGCCCCTGATGTGTCATCTTTTTATTTGATTTTTAGATTCTTTATTAAATCACGGGTGAATTAACCAATTCACCCGTAATAAAAAGAATAAATAATTTTTGTTTTAATTATAACAATCCGTTTGGTTGACTACAAATTCTTTGAAGTTTTAATTCCTTCAAACATGAATTTTCTTGGTTGGTAGTATGAAAAAATGTTCCTTTGAGTTTTTTTTTTTTTTTTTTTTTTTTTTTTTTTTTTGGAAATAGGAAATTAATTCATAACTTCAGAAAGAATACAATCAACGAGGAACTGGGGAGGATAATCAAACCACTCCCCGCAACCAGACAAAGAAACGACTTCCCTAGCAATAAGGTGGGCAGCACGATTCGCTGATCGCTTAACAAAGTAAAAGTCGACATCATGTATATAGTAGATGCCACTTCTTTAAAACATCGTACACAATAAAACCAAAAGCAAAATTAAAAGAGTCGGAAAGTAACAAAATGTTCCTTTTGGAGAATTGAAATTCTATTGACTGTTTAGTATTTTAAATTTTCATCACTTAAAAATTAACATAATGAAACAATATTATTTTCTCACACTTTTATTAAGTATAAATATTTGAGTATTTATACTAATTATAGATAGTAATTTTTTTTATATCAACCAAAAAATAAATCTAAAATATGCATTAATTCATTTCCATGAAATCAAAAAAATATATATTCTTCATAACTTTTGTTGTTGTTGTTGTTGTTGTTTTGTTTGCGATATCTTTAATGCTAATTATTATGAGTAAGTCACTCTTGTAATTAAAAGGATTACTGCTTTAACCATTCTTACATATCTTAGGTTGAAAAGTGCAATTAACCCACAAATTTGCCCAACATTGTTATGACAAATATTTTTTTGAAAATTTACACCGCATTTGGTTGGGATGAAAAAATTAGAGAGGAAAATAATTATAATTTGATGTGAAAAGAATAAGATAGAAATTCAAATTACATTATTTGATTGGAAGAAATAAAATTATTAAGAATGAAAAGGGAAGAAGTGATATAAATAATAAAATGTCCTTATGTAATACGGAGTAATAAAAATAATACTCACTGTCATATTTTATCTGGCATACTTACTATTCATTGGTCAAATCAACTCTTTCTTCTTTGTATATTTTTTTTAGTATTTTTTACTTATTTTTAAATTTGATTTTTTTTTTTGTGTTTAATAGTACTTTTTAGTATAGTTTATAAATATATAAATGTTGTATACTAATACTAAACTTAATATTATGAAAAATTGGATTAAAAATAACTTTACTCAAGTATTGTTAACCAAACGCAACACATAAAATGGAACGGAGGAAGTAACTACTAAGGGTAAAAAAAAGTGTTTTTCTTATCATTTTTTTCCACGCTTCATTGAATTGAAATTCATAACTCATAAAGGAGGTATGAATTCTAATTTACAGAATTACAATTCCTTAAATCAAACAATGTAATTTGTCAAAGAATTACATTGTTGTTGAAGGGAAAAATAGAATAGAGAGAAAAAGGGGAATCTCATCTGTCACTCTATACAACAAGTATGAAATATATATACATACAAAGTAATTAACAGAAGCAATAATAAGAGATAATTATATAACGTTACAAACGTTATAATACTATATAATAATGTCCATAATAAGCATAATGTTTATAAGAATTGTAAAAAAAGAATTGTAATTACATTGGGAGAAGAATTGTAATTAGAGTGTATCAAACATCTACGGAAAGGATTGTATGTATGGAGATTGGGATAGGTCGAAATCAATGGTTTTATGATAAGCCACGTCATGGGTCAATTTTGGGTATTTGATTTAAATAAATAAAAAAGGAAATGAGCTTAAAAATCTTACTCGTATTTAGTTTTAGTGGAAGTGGATTAAAGACCACACAGGTGTGAACATACTAGTTTTTTTTGCTAGAGAGAGAAAGAGAGAGAGAGAGAGGAGCTGTCTTGTCCTTTTGGTCTGAGATCCCTTCTTTCCTTTTCACCGGACGGCGGCGGAAGAGAAGGCGGTTGGTTTTAGTGGTGGCAGCAGCAGCTGTGGCTCCGGCGATGTGAAATCCGAACGGAACATAATAACAATGCGTAGCCGATTCACTGTTCCGCCAGAGAACACGGTCTGCATTGGCCGTGCTTCTCCGATCTAACCGTTTTCTTCCGCGATCTCTTGCGTTTTCTGATCGATCTCTTCGTTATTTTCTTTCCGAGGTCCACCGTCTTTACCTCACTCTTGTCCCGATGAATTTCGCATTTTTTTTTTTTATTTTTTATGTTTTTGTTTTCAGTATTTATATTTCCAGCTGCGAAGTTTGTTCTTTTTCTGTTTTCATCTCTTCTTTAATCTTTAATTAATACGAACTGGTTTCTTCTAATGTCATGTCAAGCTAGGGTTAGCTCGGTTTGGTTTCTAGGTTATTTTTCTTTCCGTTTATCGCATTGTCCTGCGAGGTCTAGGCTTTCGAATAGATCGATTTTGCAAATGTGAACAGTTTCAATGGGATAATTCCTGATTACGTGAAACAGCGTTGCTTTGATTTAGCTAAAAGATCAGTTTTCTATTTTAATGTGTTCTAGTTCTAGTTAAAAATGAGTAGAAAGTTTGAAACTTTTCTATCAGATATTCAGATCTAACTCTGAAAAGCCCCGAAAACATGTGGTTAACGGGACAAAGATGAGTTAAAGTTTCGTTTTTGAGAAAGAGCAGTCTGATTTCCTGAAGTGTAACGGAAATTAATAAGATTGGTTTCAACTTCTGATTTATTTTTCATTTTGAATCACATGATTAAAGGAAAAGGCTTGATTGATATGATCAGACAACATGTCGTTCAAGAGCATTGTGCGCGAGCTGAAGGAGATGAAAGATGGGATAGGGAGCATATCCAGGAGAGGGTCAGAAGGGAGGCATTGGCGAAGCAGGACACGGTCACATATAGCGCCCGATGTGGCGCCTTCTGATCCAATTGAGCAAGGCCAGTGGGCAAATTTACCCCCAGAATTGCTTCTGGATATAGTTCGGAGGGTTGAAGAGAGTGAGACATCATGGCCTGCTCGGACTGTGCTCGTCTCCTGTGCTTCTGTTTGCAAGTCATGGAGAGAAATCACTAAGGAGATTGTCAAGACTCCCGAGGAATGTGGGAAGCTTACACATCCTATTTCGCTTAAACAGGTAGCTGCCTGCTTGCTTAACTGTTATGCTGTTTTGTCATCTGACTGTTAAAGACACAAAATGAAACTGATAGGAATACATGTTCTTCTCTATATCTTGCAACAGCCCGGACCCCGTGAATCTCCTATCCAATGCTTTATCAAAAGAGATAGAGCTACTTCGATTTATCGCCTCTACTTTGGTTTGACTCCATGTAAGTTATTATGTTCTAGATTGAAATGTTTCCTTAGCTTCTATAATTTCCTACTTTTGAATCTTATCAAATGAATACTGTCTGTGAGGATTGTATGTGATGAAAATATGCACCTGTCTACCTGAAAGTATGTATCTTATGCTGAAATTCTATCTATATATGTAAGTCATGATATTAGTAATATGGAGAGCTCTGCAAGGAGGATTCTGGTAAAGTTCCTGTAAGGTATACTGCTAACCTTCTTACCACTTGACAGCTGAGGATGCGAGTGATAAATTATTGCTGGCAGCCAAGAAGATCAGACGGGCAACAAGCACGGACTTTGTCATATCATTGGTTGCAGATGAATTTTCACGAGCCAGCAACACTTATCTTGGGAAGCTGAGGCAAGTTTTCTTATATTTCTGTCTGCCCATCAAGAACTCTCTGCTTACCCCTCCACCCCACAGGCCACAGAACAATCTTTCTATGATAGAAAAAAAGTAAAAAGCTTTTGTATTTTGGTTGTTCTATAACTGATATTGGAGCAATTTGAGCAGGTCTAACTTTCTTGGTACCAAGTTCACCATATATGATAGCCAACCCACCACACATGATTCAGTGGTTCAGCACACTCAGCTTAGTCGAAGATTCCATTCTAAACAAGTGTCTCCTAGAGGAGTATCTGCTTGTAACTACAGCATTGCCACTATTTCCTACGAGCTCAATGTCCTTCGCACCAGAGGGCCTAGGAGAATGCAATGTGTTATGCACTCTATCCCCGTCACCTCTATTCAGGAGGGAGGCACAGCTCCTACACCAACATCATTCTCGCAGTTTCTCGATGACAGGCCTTCTCACACACCAGTCTCGAAAGCTAAGGATCCAAACATGGATTCCAGCTCCCCTGGACATTCAGGTTCTCTCGTGCCAGAACCACCTTCTCAAGAGCCCCTTATGCTTAAAAACAAGGCCCCTCGATGGCACGAACAGTTACAATGCTGGTGCTTAAATTTTAAAGGCCGTGTCACGGTGGCATCTGTCAAGAATTTTCAGCTCGTGGCCGCTGTGGATCCTTCTCACAACATACCCGCTGCAGAACAGGAGAAGGTAATCCTGCAATTCGGAAAGATTGGAAAAGATATCTTCACCATGGATTATCGCTACCCGCTCTCCGCTTTCCATGCTTTTGCAATCTGCTTGAGCAGCTTTGACACAAAACCAGCCTGTGAATGATTTTCAGGTGGTTTGTAAATGATGAACATCTCTTGCTTTTTGTTGCTTCAGAATCTTGAATTATGCTTACTATCTATGAAGTATATCCATTGGCCATAAATTATTACTACTTCTTTAGCTGCTAACTCTCTGCTATGAACATTTTCAATCCAACTATAATGTGTTGTGAGTAATTTACATGCAGAAAATGGATTATGAATAAAGTCCCTTTCTTGAAAATAGTACATAATATCTAAAAAATAATTTTAATTATTTTATGGATCGCCATCAATTTTCTGCAAGTAGCAATCAAGCTGCGCTGGTTCTCCTCCCCTATCATGTTTTTTTCTATTCATTTTTTTCTTTAGCTTCAGCCATGAACAACTAAGCTATTTTTCTCTTTTTCTCTGCCTCACGTTTCTATCCTTCTCTGCCTTTCCTTTTCATTCTTTCTTCTCTCGCTTTCATCAAATTAGGGTTGATACTTGATAGTTTTGTATATTAAACAGGATTTATTTTTAAGTTAAATAGAGATAATTATATTATAAATTATAAATTACGAGTATTACTTCTTGGGGCAATTACTAGCAAGTTGTACGCTCGGCAAGCTGGCATCAAATCATTTTTTTTTTTAATAATCAGGGGCGTTTTAGGGAAATTTAATTTCTCCCACAACGCTAACTGCAAACGCTGCATTTTGTTTGCAAAAGTAGCGGTTTGGAGCAACCGCTGTTCTAAACCGTTGCTTTACCAATCATGTTTTGCGGATCTGTCATTTATCAAACATAGCCAATATCCAAAGCAAAACAAGACGATAGCCGAACAAGTAGCTGAATCATATACGTCCAAAAAAAAGTCGAATGGCTAGAATGACATCAGAATTAGTTATGTTCAGTATATTATGTGACGATACATGCCAGAAGGCATTGTAGTAGGCACGAGCACAGAGGACAAGCGTAATTGCCTTATTTGTAACCATTTTGCACATTATAAGAAGTAGCTAGTATAAGTATTATCTTTGTAATTGAGCTAATTTCAGCAATGGTCCTCCGACTATATTGATTTTTCAAAATTAGTCATCGACTTTTAATTTGGACACTTTACGACCCTTGACTTTCAATTTCTTTCCAATTGAAGTCCTTTCGTCAAATTACGGTAAATTGGACTTTAAATGAAAGGGTAAAGTAGTCATTTCATCTGCTTAATGTATAATTATTCGTATTTCTCCCTTGTATGCGCGACTTCGGACTTTAAATGAAAGGGTTTGACCCGTTTCCTTTTACCTCAACCCGTAGATCGGGACCGAACCGCTTGACCCCGACCCGACTATAAGCGGGAACACGGACCAGGGGTATATATCCTACCAAGAAGCCCTCTCAGTCTGTGCCCTAACGACGAGTTAACAAGGAAGGGTTCGGGCTGGAAAAACTGGTTACGCGGTCCGTGACATGCGCCGGTTGCCTCGTTAAAAATCTTAGGGTAATAAAAAACCCAGTGGGAAAAAATTTCAGCCAAGGAAATACCACGTGGTCGTGGGTTCGATCCCCACAGACGGCGCCAAAATGATGGTAATAATTCTCGGTTGTACTCGTAGAATGTATGTACCGTATGTATGAAGAACATAGTAGACAATAGAATGTAGCTCAAGTCTTCTTTTATTGATATTCTTGTAGTTTTGTAGAGAGAGCACTTTGAAGTGAGAGAGAGTGGAGAGGGAAGGAGTCCCCTCAGTTGGAGGGCTAGAAGCCTTTTTATAGGGGCAAGGAGGTGGCGGGTTTGACCCGTTTCCTTTTACCTCAACCCGTAGACCGGGACCGAACCGCTTGACCCCGACCCGACTATAAGCGGGAAAACGGACCCGGGGTATATATCCTATCAAGAACCCCCCCCCCCCCCAAAGTCCGTGCCCTAACAACGAGTTAACGAGAAAGGGTTCGGGCTGGAAAAACAGGTTACGCGGTTCGTGACATGCGCCGATTACCTAGTTAAAAACCTTAGGCTAATAAAAAACTCAGTGGGAAAAAATTTCAGCCAAGGAAATACCACGTGGTCGTGGGTTTGATCCCCATAGACGGTGCCAAAATGATGGTACTAATTCTCGGTTGTACTCGTAGAATGTATGTACCGTATGTATGAAGAACATAGTAGACAATAGAATGTAGCTCAAGTCTTCTTTTATTGATATTCTTGTAGTTTTGTAGAGAGAAGGTAGAGCACTTTGAAGTGAGAGAGAGTGGAGAGGGAAGGAGTCCCCTCAGTTGGAGGGCTAGAAGCCCTTTTATAGGGGCAAGGAGGTGGCGGGTTTGACCCGTTTCATTTTACCTCAACCCGTAGATCAGGTACCGAACTGCTTGACCCCGACCCGACTATAAGCGGGAACACGGACTCGGGGTATATATCCTACCATGCCTAATGTATAATTCTTCGTATTTCTCCCTTGTATGCGCGTCTTCGGACATCAGATTCACTTAATTGCTTAATCCCTAAATCCACTCGAAGAACAAAATTCCATTAGGGATTAAACAATTAAGTGAATCTGATGTCCGAAGTCGCATATACAAGGAAGAAATACGAAGAATTATACATTAGGGAGATGAAATGACTACTTTACCCTTTCATTTAATGTCCACTTTACTGTAATCTGACGAAAGGACTCCAATTGGAAAGAAATTGAAAATCAAGGGACGTAAATTGTCCAAATTAAAAACTGGAGACTAATTTTAAAAAATCAATATAGTCAGAGGATCATTGCTGGAGTTAACTCTTTGTAATTTAACAAAGTCTCTCTCAGCTTTGATAGCTCCAAGCTATTCAAAGCATTCTTCATTATTACTGTTCGATTGATTATATTTGATGGCAAGTTTAAATGACATCTATAGTTTGATGTTAAAGCCATAGGGTTTGTATTTACACTAACATTATTTTTAATGTTTCATTTCATAATAATATTATAATTTAGTTGAAGACAAGGCACTTAATATATGAATTGGAATAGGTTTTTAAAGGTCTATAAATTACATATTTAGAGCTAATTTTCTTTAACTTGAATGAAGATACAGAAGATAATAAGATTTGTAGAAAAGAAATCTAAATTAAAATACATGCTGCTTTTTTTTTTTTTTTTTTTGAAGATATATTTGTAATAAATTACAAACTAATAGTAGTTATATCATATTTTCTTGTTAAAATTACCACTTATTAATTTCTTTTGATATATAGAGAAAAAAAGATCCAAAACAAATAAATTACAAAAATCTTAGACTAGATGGCCTACAAAATTTGTATTTTGTAGCTAGAAGATTCCTAAGTTCCTCTAGGGGTTGTTAAATGTTAATAATGTTTATACACTTTGAGAATGAGGATTGTGTTTTACCCTCAATCAATCTGTACACTTATTTACTTTTCTATGAACTTGTTTAAAATTGTCTCATAATTTGACCTTTTAAAAATAAAAAATAAAAAATTTTATACACTTTTTTTTTTTTATAAAAAAATTGTATTTAATAATTGCATAGATCCCCATATATAATTAATTTGGTAAGTGTCAACAATTTATGGGTATCAAAGAGTGAATTCCATTTTTGGTCCTACTGTTATAGGGGCATTTCCAATTTCAGTCCACTTTAATTTTTTTTTGCCACTTTACAACCACTGTTATTGAATGTGTTCCACTTTTAGTCCACCGTTAATATTTCCGTCAAGAGGCCGTATAATCAAAGGGTATTTTGGTCTTTTTATATTTGTCTCTTCTCTTTTAATCCAGGCGCTTTGTCCTCCTCTTCCGATATTCGAAGATGGCTCTTCAAACAACGAGAATGGGAAGCTAAAGCTACATTGTTTCGTTCGTTCCAACATAGGCCGACGAGGTTTCTTAGGTTTTAGGTTCAATGTTCTCATTTCTTTAGTCAAACATAGCCTTGTATGAGAAGAAATGTCAAAATATCCCTAGATTACACGGCCTCTTGATGGAAATACTAACGGTGGGACTAAAAGTGGCTAAAAGTGGAACACATTCAATAATAGTGGTTATAAAGTGGCAAAAAAATTAAGGTGGATTAAAATTGGAAATGCCCATATAACAGTAAGACCAAAAATGAAATTCACTCAAAGAAAAATAACAACTTTTCATTGTTTTAAATGACTGATAATGTACAAATTACTATGTAGTGTGATGACATCTGTTACTATTCCAAATAGATGGTCACATGATCAAACAACACCGTGAGTGTTTAAAAAAAAAAAAGACGGATAATGCCATATTAAGGGATGAGCCATTTAATATAAAATTAAAAGAGAAAAATAACATTGGGATACTAGGAAAAACATAACCAGTTCAACTACGGCAAATTATTTTGTGAACAAGGTAGACTTGGGTCCAAAAATACACAATTTACATACCGAATGTTCGTAATTCAAATTGCGTACATTCAGTATGTAAATTATGTATTTTGAACCCAAATCCACTTAGTAAACCCGGGTCCATGGGTATAACTGTTGTTCAACCACTATTTAGGATGTACACAACATAAATCCCGTTTTTATTTAATATAATAATCCACAATCACACAAGAACTTGCAATTAATTTTCACTTGAGAAACGTCCCTCTCAATCTTGTTGGGATAAAAATAAAAACAACAAAAAAAGTTTTCTACCTCAAATTTCCCTCTCACTAACAAACCAATGCACAAAAGAGAGGCCCACCAATGTAGTGCAACTTGGTGGGCCTAAAGCACCCGGCCCACAGTGTTGAAGCTGATGGATTGAGCTGTCATCCAACCCTACCTCACTGGAATTCTACCAGCAGCGGGAGCACCCTGGTCCCGCCGCCCGCCCCTTCCTACTTCCGCCTCTATCCTTAATCTTTAAGCCTTTCGGGGTGGGTCCTTAATCCAAGTTGGGAAGCTATGGTGAGACCTCTCCCAATCTGACTGATTATTCGGGTCGATTTTTAAATTTTTGTGACCCTATTTTTATAAATAAATGAGGTCCTATCAAAAGTATAATCACAATCCTTAATAATGAATAGTGAATGATACAAATTTCAAGTTATTTCTGTAAATTTAGGATTTGAGACATTATCGGTGCCTCGATAGAGAAATATAATGATCAAAATTGAAGACCTGTGTTGTTTTTCATATTGGGTAAACCATAATCAAGTTGGGGAAGCAATATTATATTCCATGAAATTTGAATTGGGATAGCAGGAATAGAATGCAACAGAAATAATGTGCAGTGAAGGAGGTTGGGGCATGGTGTTGATCAACATTTTGTATGGTTGTCATGTGCAATAAAAGGTTAGTAGTCAATTCAAAAGAAACAATGGTATTTTAGGTGGATTGCCCCATTGGAATAATTAATGCAATGTGGTCTGTACTCCATAGAAAGCAGACCAAACAAGCAATCCATTCACACAAAAAAATGCAAATTGGACCACTTAACCATTGCCATCTTGCATTGTCACTTATCCTTTTTCGCCTCCAACCATACATCCAGATGATAATTTCATATACATAATTACTTGCGTCCTTTACGGTGTAAAATTGTGTATTGATACCAAGAAAATACATACATATATAACCAAATTATAGTTTATTACATACTGCATCAGTGACATTTTGCAACATATATGGGCTATACATGCATACAAATTCATCTGCTCAATCGGTCAAAACTCGAAGCTAGGCAGAAAAGAATTTTAATGAGAAACAAAAAAAAAAAAGAAAAAGATGATATAGTGTTGTTAATCGATAATCTTCAAGAACGCTGTACTCTATCTCAAGATTATTCTGCACTTTCAACCTCGGATAAATAGGGTAAATGAAGAAGATGATGATGATGAGTGCCACCTTCAATTCATGGTTTCCTAATCAGTGAAAGCTGCCATTAAAAGGGGTTTGCCAGCACTCACTTTCCCAACCTTGCAGCTGCTGCAATTAATGCCAGACGATCTGTTAGAGTATGTTTGAGCATATAACCATTAATGTGCAATTCAACTATCAGCTTAGCTTAGGTTTTTAGTTGAGATGAAGTACATGCTTCAATTTGGTATCAGAGCCCGTTAATTTACCAAACATGCACTTTTTCTACATCCCTTATAACTAATTGCCAAACACCCTTAACATAGTAAAAAGATATTTGTACAGTAGGCCGGCCGGAGAGTGCCGGAACTTACCGGAAAATATGAGGAATCGAGGTAGGCCTCCGGGATGGATTCAGATGGATTATTTTCTTTTCTTTGGTGGTGGGGCAACATTATCTGTACGTCTGATCTAACCATATCAGTTTCCATGCTGGCGGCGCCGCCGCGGCTGGTGGCTGTAGCAAACTGTTGCAACGGATTGTAGTGGAGGAATGCTGCATTAACTGCTTCTAACGGCATAGCCGCCGCCGCCGCCGGAAAGCTGCCCATGTACGCCGGTAGCTTCAATGATTAAAATTAAGCGCCGCCATGGAAAAAGTCAGTATCAGACAGTCAAATTAAAAACCCAATCTTGAAAATCAAACAAGATCGTAATCAGTATATATATATATATACCTCTTTTGGAAATAAGTTATCCATGTTGAATTCCAGCCTGGGGTTCAAGGCCGCTAGTTTCATAGACAAGAACTGCAGTTCACAATAATACACAAACATTAATTAAGGGTCTAGTAATTCCAGAAATGTACGTGTTGCCAGTACTAGGTAATTAACATATACGATGATTAATTACCTCGACTTGTTTCTGAAGAGATTGAACGTAGTTAATGATTTCGTCTAGCATTCCTGCTTTTCCGACCACTTTGTTACACCCCGGAACTAAATCCTGTAGGCACTTCATTTTCTTGCTAATTTTCTCCCTTCTTGCCTGCAACATTATTGCCAACGTAATTGTTATAACTTTATTTGGTTATATTTTCAGGGATTTTATGAATTGAATTGTAAGTTTTATGGTTAAGTTTAGTGGTTTGCAGTACTCACTCTCTCTGCTAAGCTATGGCTGTCGGTGGCTTGGCCACGGCGAGCTCTGACGTGAATGTAATCAGATTTTTGAACGTCTTCGCCGGAGCCGCCGGAGGATTTCTTGTTCTCTTTGGAAGCAGAGCTTCCGGAAGTCTCCCGTTCGCATTTCACGGTGATTTCTGATTGAACGTCGGTGGTTTCTCCTTCCCATTTCTTATCTTCCAAGCAATGCTGTCAAAAAGAAGAGAGAAGAATCTTTACGTTTGCTTGATTAATTATTTTGAATTCCGGCGGGGTTTGAAGTTGAAGGGCCCAAACCTCTGCTTTCCTCTTTCTCGTCGACGTCGCGGTTCCGTTAGCTCTGCCGCCGCCGGGGGTGGCGTTTTGGTCGTTTGCTTTTGACGACGTCGGTACCGCCGCCGCCGTTATAGATGAACTGGAACGCGACAATTTCCCGGTTTCTCTCCCATGCACGTCCACGACGGCGTTCGGGGAGTTTTCCTCGGCGTGCCAGAGCGACGCCAAGTTAGTCAAATTACCGTCTAGCAACGCCGGAAAGGGATTCTCCGGGGCCGGAGCCCCGGCGCCGGCGAGGTGATTGTCATGAATAATGGGCTGGTAAAGACGCTGGAAAATGGCCCTCTGCCTTTCCAGTACGCTCAAATCGGCGGCGGAGTAGGAAACATTATTATTCTCAGGCGAAGACTGCGCGCAGCGAAGCATTGTCACAGTTCCGGTAGGTAGTCGCTGACGTAATTCTCAGGCGAAGGAAAAGCAAACCAGTCAAGTCTCGACTCTGATCCGTTGTTCTGATGAGAGGAAAAGAAAGAAAGCAATGAGTTTTATAGGAGAGGGGAAATGGGAATGCAATGAAGAATGTGTTGATTGGAAGGAAGGGAAAAACCGGTGGGGACAGGCGGTGTGGACCACTTCGCTCTCCTTCCCACTACTCCACCGCTACAGACTCCATGTGAGAATGTCTGGTTCGACGGTACGGTGAACGGGAAAACAAGAACGGGGGTCTTTAAGGATACCAAATATGCATGCCAACAATAGTCAAAACCATTCCTTTTTTTAGATGTGCCAACAAAAACGGGATTCAACAATACCAATTGTTTACATAGGGACATATTTTTTTAAAAAAATAGCTCCAGAAACTAGCTTAATTGGTTTGATCTATCACCCTAATATTGTTTGTACATAAAGTGTACATGCAAAAGGTAAATACCTAATAGAGAGACCATTCAAGATTTACCTCCTCCAATTACTCTGATAGATATTTTAGGTATTGTTTGTACAAATTTAGTTCACTGGTTCGGCAAACAATGTTTAGGACAAAAGTCCAATGTTCGAAACTCAGAACAATGTGGAGGTTATGCCCAACCCGCCATAGTGTGGGGGGCTTTTAACCTTTTGGGGCAAAAAATTTTGATAATTTACAGAGCGTTTGGTTGGGAGTAAGGAATTATGGTGGAAAGGACTTGCAATTCGGTGGGAAAAGAATAAGGTGTGAATAAATTAGGAATTCAAATTACATTGTTTGGGAGGGATGAATAGAATTATTGGGTAGGGAATAAAAGAAGTGATATAAAGACTAAAATATTCTTGTGTAATAATAATAGTAGTAATAATTAAGGGTACTTTTGTCATTTCATTCCTTTTTCCTTTTTCCTTTTTCCACAACCACCGAATTGCAATTCATAGGGGGTGTCCATGAATTGCAATTCAGCAAAAAGAGGGAATTGCAATTCTCTCCAACCAAACAGCATAATTGTGACTTTCACTGAATTGCAATTCAACTTCAGCCAAATTACGCCCAACCAAACAGGCCATTAGAGTTAATCTAACAAGTTGAAAACTTTTTAAAAAAAATTTAAGAATACTTTTATTTTTAAAGATTTAAAATTAGAAAACCTGAAAATGGACACAGAGAGAATGGAGATGCTAAAGGAGTTGAAGAGTTTCTTCCTAAATAAGAGTAGTTTTAACTTTTAAGTCTTCATTTATTTAGGAAAAAACTCTGAATGGGAGGGGCATGCCAAATAATGAGTAATTTTACTTGTATCATCATTTTACATTCTCATTTTCTACCATTTATGATGTGACATGCTTTGATTGTTTAATATAATAGGGGTCATAATTTTTATCAATTTTTTTTTTTTCATTTCATACTCTCATTTTCGACACCTTATGGTAGCAAGCTTTTTATTTATTTATTATTATTATTATTATTATTATTATTATTATTATTATTATTTTAGTATTATGACTCTATTACAATGTAGTATCCCTCGAGAGCCACAAAAGAGCCAAAAAAAAATATTGTTGTCATATAATGGAGTGTTTGATAAATAACTTATCAACTAACTTCTGAGTTATTTGAGGAATTTTAGTTGTCTGATCAATCAAACAAATTACATAAATGTTTGGTAAAGAGTTTTTCTTCTCCCAAAAGGTTGAATTCTCAACCCTAAGGGCCCTCCACACCCCGGCCCGACAGAGCATTTGGGAGGGTGTAAATCACGGTGACTTAATAATTCAGCGAACATGGCCAAATGCCGGTGCGCACAAGGAATCTGCCCACTTTAGACATAATTCCCACACTATCGCCGCGGTAAACAGTTTTTTGAATTAACTAATTGATGTCAATAAGTTGGGTCAAAGTACCCTATGAAATCCCTGTACTATAGTATTTTGTTCAATTTAGTCCTTGTACCTTTATTCTATTCAATTTATTCCCTCTACTTTAAAAAGTGGTGAAACTAATGACAATTATCCAAATCTTATTAGAAACATGGTAGTAATTATTTAGTTTGGACATACTAATTTAATATATTAGTGGTAAAAATAATTAATTTTAAATATTTATAAAGTAATATATGAGTAGGAATATAAATATCGTCCGCGTCACGTAACCTAAGTTAACGGTAATATTGAAACCGTTAACTATTATCCTTAATTGCACCATTTTTTAAAGTACATGGACTAAATTAAATAAAATAAAAGTATAATGACTAAATTAAACAAAACCTATAAGTACAGAGACTTCGTAGATACTTTGACCCAATAAGTTGCAAATAAAATTCTATTTGGAGCATATTTTAGTATCAATTGATACTCAAATTTACATTTTCAATATTGAATTAATTTTATTTAATAAAAAAATAATACAAAGTAATAAATAACAACAGTGAAATTAAAAACAACAACAACAATAATTATTATTATAAAAATAAACTTATTTTAAAATTTATACATAAAACTAAAAATAATTTAAAGACAATTCAATAAATATAATAATATAATTATATCATTTAAAGTCATTTTACATGTTATTTATTGATTTATCAAATATTTTTCTACAAACCGCTAATAATACTAGCTGTCAAAATAATTAACACAATCGGTTATCAGTTATCAACTATAAGCTAATTATCAAACACCTCCAATATGTTTATACAAAATAAAATGGGGCTATTGAAAAGTATATTATTACAAATAATCATTTTATAAAATGTGGTACTGGTCAAAAAAAAAAAAAAAAAAGAAGAAAGAGTCGAGTCGAGTCGAGCAACTTTGAAAGGCCCTCAATTACTATTTTACTCAAAGGGACATATGTGAGGGATGTAAATAGTATGATATGATTCAACAATGCTGAGGTAACTCTCACTACCTCAAAATAATTAGATACGAGCGAAGTACCATGTAAGGAATGCACATTCAAAATGAATTGAGTGAGATTGATTTAAATTAGACCAAGTCATATTTAAAATATTAATATAGCTTCGATTTAAGTTATCACATTTTAAATTCAATTAAATTTTGATTAATTTAAGGTAAAATCGAAATATATAAATTCACACTAATTTGCCTCAAGACAATTAGGTATGAGAGAAGTACCGTATGTAAGGAGTGTGCATCAAAATAAATCGAGTTGAGTGAATTTAATTTAAATTAACCCAACTGAAATTAAAATTTAAAATATTAATTTAGCTTCGGTTTAAGTTGTTACAAAATTTAAAATATTAATTTAGCTTCAGTTTAAGTTGTTACAAAATTTAAAAATTCAGCTAGGTTTTAATTTTTTTTTTTTTGAATGTTACTAGCTCTATTACATTGTAGTATCTGTTCATATACTTTCTCAACCTACTGAAACACAAAGAGCTAATAACGCCTCCATTAAGGCTTGAACTCACAACCTTCATAATGGAAGTCCAATCCGGGTATCATTGGACCACATAAATATATAAATTCACACTAATTTTGATTAATGTTATGATTTATTCGTGTTCTTATACGGTTCAAAAGAATCAGATATATTTCGCTAGGAGGAGGGCGTGTTCTTGTACGGTTCAAAAAAATCAAAATATTTCGCTAGAAGGAGGGCTTGAACCTCCGACCTTGTGGTTAACAGCCACACGCTCTAACCAACTGAGCTATTACAGCTATATGTTTAACTTTTACAGAATACATATTTTATAAATAAACAAAAACGAATAGACACGACAAAATAAGTACGGAAAATTGTATTTATGTCTTCACAAATATGTCAATTATCAATGTCACCCTTGAATTATTTGTGGTGTAAATATAATCCCTCAATTTTCAAAATGTGACGTATATTGTCTTCCCCTAATGGAAAGAAGAAGAAATATTGTTGTTGGTAGAAGGAGAACAAACGAAGAAAAAAATAACATTGATAATTGATATATTTGTAAGGAAGATCAGTTACAAATTTTCGTATTAAATATTGCTATCTAACTTCGGACTAATTGAATGATGTTTGGATAAAAAGAATTGACAACTTATAGGCATCACATTCTGAGGCCCCACCCCTGCTCTCATCCTTTTCTTATCCCCTTTCACAATGTTTTTCTCCATTTTTTCTTCACAGCCAAGTTTTCTATTACTTTTCAATTTCCTCAACTTAAAAAGGTGAATGAATATTTTAGAATATCAATCTTTGTTAGAAGTAATTTTGAATGGATTATCATAAGTTTTTCATATAAGAATATACTCATTACGTCTCATTTTATATGTCTGATTTGATTAACAAGGAGTTTGACTGAAGCTATTTACAATTTAATTGTTTTGTAATATTTTATTATAGAAGTGGCGGTTTTCTCCCTGATAATATTAAATGGACATTTCTACCCTTAAAACAAATTTATTTATTTCTCTTCTTCACCAAATTATTGCTTATACGTAGGGATGATTACGGTTCGGTTCGAACTGAACCAAACACTATAGCAATCAAATTAAAAAATTTCGGTTATGATTCATAACATAACCCAATATTTGGGTTTCCGTTTATTAAAATCGTGAACTGAAAAAAATGGATCCTGAACCGTGAACCGGAGGTTCAAATCGGAACAACTACTAGCAATAGCTTAAATTAGAATTAGGGAAAATGGCACTTTTTACCCCTGAGTTATATACTTATAGCACTTTCCTCCCCTCAATTATTTAGGTAAGCACATTAGCCTCCTAAATTATTCTAAAAGTGGTGCTTTTTCCCCCCTTATATATTAAATTGACATTTATACCCTTAAAGTAAACATTTTATTTATTTTACTACTCCAACAAATTATTGCGTATACGTAGGGATGACCACGGTTCGATTCGAATTGAATCGGATACTAAAGCAATCGAATTAATAGTTTACGGTTATAATTCAGATCTAGAACCCAATATTTAAATGTCAATTTATTAAAATTATGTATCAAAAAATTGAATCTTGAACCGTGAACCGGCGGTTCTGGATCTGATTCGCGGTTTTGAACCATCTTTATTTTAAAATTTTATTTTTTATTTTAAAATAGTCTAAATTCAACAATAAATGTATTTTATTTTTTTTCGGAACATGAACCGTCCGTTCCGGTTCACGATTTTAATAAACTCTAAATATCGAATTTCGATTCTAAATTGTAATTGGAATATTTCGGTTTGGTTGCTATAGTGTTTGTTTAGTTTGAACCAAATTATGGTCATAATTTGTTGGAGAAAAAAATAAATTAAATATTTAGTTTAAGGG